TGTTCTATGCAAAAGGTGTTCGGCCCCTTTTCTTTGGCAACACAGAATGGAGAATTCTACTGCCTGAGGGTTATAATCCCTAAGTGCGGCCGAAGGCCGCCTACGAAGAAACGTGTTCAGCCCCTGATCCCCCTACTATTTATTTTAATCTGAACAAAATAACCTTATCGTATTTTCCTTTTAATCGTATTTTCTTTTGCTCTTGCTTTCCACTCTTGGTTTTTTACATATGGCAACACAGTCCTGCTGGCATTTGCACATATTCTGCATGTACTCTCATAAAATTAAACAACAATCAATTTTTTATAAAAAAGCTGTAATATACTAAAAGTATTTATTTGTTTGAACGTGTACACTCTAGCTGCGCATATATTGAGTGTAAATAACGTGTAAATTTAGTGGAAAGTGCATTATATATTGTGAAATAGTCCCATACAAGTTGGTGAAAATTACAAACTTTAATAACAAATTACTTCAAAACTATAAGGTTGCGCGCTTTAAAACTTTACATACACCCCCTTTAGAACCCCCTCTACCCCCCCTATTTTCCTTAATTCCGTAATCGGGGGTTACCATTCTAAAATTTTCCCTTATTCCTTATGTGTACACACGTTGTCACAGGCGAAAATGAAGAAAATTCCAGTAAATAGCCACCACCAAATTGTAAGCAACGAACAAATGTAAACAAACGGCTAATGTCAAAATCGCCCAACTTTTTTCCTAAATACGATTATAACGGGCAACTGGCTTGCTGGCGCGATCTTGTATTTTTGGTTCATGCAGTTTTTTTAATCAAGTTTAAACTGGCTTTGAAAAACTGGTCCTTAGGGCATTGAAAAACTGCCCCTTAGTATTCTTCTTGTACATGTTTGTGAAGCGCTGACGCAAGCAACAACAAATTGCAAGATAAAGAAACGTAAGAAAACGAACAAAACTACACAGATGATTGTGTTGACATTTGGGAAGTGACGTGTTTGCATTGTAGTTGTGATTGTAAAATTGTGGCATGGTGGAATTTTCTTGAATATATCGAAATTTGCAAAAATATTGGAACTACAACTTCTGAAAACTTACATGAATGGCTAAATAAAAGCGTTACCTGGTGTGATACATATGCAGCAATTTTTTGAACCTTTGCTAAAAATGTCTACGCAAAAGGTGATTGTTTATACTGTCGCGTTTGCTTTTTGCGTTTTCTTGGGCACTGCAATTGGGGCGAACAATACCAATGGCATTGATGGAACCGTGATCAGTAATAATAACATCAGTTATACTATGCCCTCTGCTAATTCAGCGACCCCAGTTCAACCGGCAGCAGTCAATCAGATTGGCGCTGGCACTGATGGCGTTTCTGTGGGCCTGAAAAACAATCCACAAGACAATACAGCTGACAACCTACGAAATTTTATATCTGTAGCGACCGCATCCATATCAGGCGTACCGATCATTAATACAAATAATACAAATACTAATCCAACAAACACGACAACCACTACAACGCTGGCACCCACAAACGCAACTCAGAATGCTACAACACCCACTGCTGATCCGCCACTACCAGATCAGCATGCAGTGGAGCAGGAACATAATTCATCGTTGTCAATTTTCTTCGTCATATGCGTTATTATGTGGGCATTTTGCTCATACATTCAATGCTGCAGACTGGGTTTCAGTATTTACCCGAAAGCATTGTGGTTGTATTTCTGGGAGCCCTAATAGGGCTGCTCGTCAAGGTTATGTCGGGTGAGAATGCTAGCTGGAAGCGTGAGGAAGTATTCACGCCGACGGGATTCTTTTTAGTTCTATTGCCGCCGATTATATTCGAATCGGGCTACAATTTGCATAAGGGCAACTTCTTTCAAAATATTGGTTCGATTCTGGTATTTGCCATATTTGGTACGACCATTTCGGCGCTAGTTATCGGAGCTGGTTGTTATTTACTGGGAGTGGCAGAGGTCGCTACAGGTGAGTATGTTTGCTATACAAATCGGTAGAATATTACTTAGCGTAGGTATGATAATAATATGTAATTAATGAAAATATTTTCATTTAGACTTGATTTCTCTGAATCATTCGCTTTTGGTTCGCTCATATCGGCTGTGGATCCAGTCGCTACCGTAGCTATATTCCATGCTTTGGACGTAGATCCTATACTAAACATGTTGGTTTTTGGCGAGAGCATACTGAACGATGCCATTTCCATTGTTCTCACCACGTCGATCACCCAATCGGCCAATACCCCCGCTAATAGTCAGGCAACAACAGGTGAGGAAATCTTTTCAGCACTTAAAACATTCTGCGAAATGTTCTTCGCCTCTGCTGGTATTGGCGTGGTTTTCGCACTCATATCGGCGTTGCTTTTAAAGCATGTTGATCTTCGCAAACATCCTTCGCTCGAGTTCGCCATGATGTTAATGTTCACCTACGCACCTTACGTGCTTGCTGAGGGCATACATCTGAGTGGCATTATGGCCATACTGTTCTGCGGGATCGTCATGTCGCATTACACGCATTTTAATCTTTCTACCGTTACGCAGATTACAATGCAACAAACCATGCGCACACTTTCCTTCATTGCTGAAACTTGTGTGTTCGCTTACTTGGGACTTGCAATATTTTCCTTTAATCATCAAGTCGAACTTTCCTTTGTGATTTGGTCAATTGTGCTTTGCGTCCTCGGGCGCGCATATTTCCTTTGGCTTTCTTGGTTAACAAATTTCGCGAGCATAAAATCACCAACAAAATGCAGTTCATAATGTGGTTCTCTGGCTTGCGTGGTGCCATTTCATATGCGCTTTCTCTGCATTTGGATCTACCCAACGATGAAACACGCCGTGTGCTCATCACTACGACACTTATTATTGTGCTCTTCACAACGCTATTCTTCGGCGGTTCAACTATGCCGCTGCTAAAATCCCTCGCTTCCCTTTCCACACCCAACGCGTACTCGTTGGCGAACGTCAGTTCCTGCAGCGCCTCGATTATTCCGTCGGGATATATCGCGGAAGTCCGCCCCAATCTCCGGCAGAAGCGGATGTTTTCGCAAATGAGCGATACCATCTAGGCCAGGTCGATCCCGAGGATCCCCGCATAAAATACCTGAACTTGGAGATTCGGCAAGTGGTAAATCAACACATGCGGACCAATTTTTCGCCTTTGGTGTCACTAAGCTCTGGTCAACCGTGAAGTCCCTGTCCAATCTGACGAGATGTGACGAAAGAGCAGAAATTTCATTTGGCGGCCCCGCCTCATACCCGAAGAAATGCGGGGGTACCACGGGGGAGTTTCTCTGATCTCATATGCTGACGGTTGTTCGATAATGGCGTCCGGGAACGGAATTTATAACCTCTACTCGAAGGTAGGTGGCTACCTCTCGGAACTTTCTGATCTTCACTACACGGAGTCTAACCTTCTACCCGACGAAATCAACGGCGATCCTCCACCACCTGTACCAAAGAGATCTGGCTTCAATTAGGTATTCACGTTGATGGCATATCAATTCCGGCGGTGAACAACCCGAAAGTACAGAGGTTACAGATCTGCAGTAAGGTCCTCAAGTCGCTCGTTGGCATCACCGGGAGGGGCATTCATAGAGTTAAGCATCAAGGCTATATATGTAGACTATTAGTTCTCTGAGTTTTCAAGTTATGCATCAAGGCCATATATGTAGACTATTAGTTATCTGAGTTTTCAAGTTCCATCGAATGGGCCGATTTTACACCGAATAGCTGAGGAAAAACCTTATCGAAACAAGTAAGGACGCTGCTGTGTTCGGCTATGCCGAAGGTGTTGCAGTGGCGGATTTACAGTCTTGGCCGCCCTAGGCCCTCTAGTACCAGTCGCCCTTTTCTCAACTTTGGTTATTTAGGTACAACATATAAGTTTACTTTTTTGTCGAAATATTTTATCGATAAAATAACACCGATCTCTATATTTCTTACCATGATACAAAAATGAAGGTAGCTTCAATAAACAACTTTTGACGGAAAATATTTTTTTTGAAGTTTCATTAATTGTGATAGTATGTTACCGCATAATTTTGGACCACGTTAACCGATTTCGATAACTGTTTTTTTAAAGGAAAGGTGGTATCTCAGAGGTGGTCCAATACTATTTCGGTTTAGATCCGAACATTGGATCATAAAGAAATTAACGGTACTCTTAAATTTTTACCTCGCTTTTATTAGCTTGGGATGCAAATATGTAATATTGATGCGCCTAAAGGATGCAGCGACTTCCATTCTCAAGTTACATACCTAATGACAGTACGAATGGAAATTATAAATGCGAGTTTTTAGTTTTTTAAACTGTAATTTTTTTTATTATATTAGAATTGAGGTCGGTTGTTTTCTTTTGGTTAAAAATTACTTGTTGATGTAGAAAATCTAGGAATTTTATTTTCTGTTGAAAAATATTTTTTTCTTGTCTTTAAAATAACATTTATATAGATGCCTTACAGCCGGATTCACCAGCAATTTAAATTGAAAATGATTTTTTATTTCAATTTCCATATAATTAAAAAAAAAAAAAAATAAAATCATTTCCACTTAAATTGCTTTCGTGAATTGGTTGTTTAGTTAAAAAAACAAACACTCTATATTCGATTAATTTAAAATTTCAAAATATCGATGAAATTGTATGTTCGAAAAACTTGATAGCATAAATATGGTCAAGAAATTAAAATTTAATTTTAATCCTACTTTCCTACTAATATTATAAATGTGAAAGTTTGTAAGTGAGTGAGTGTGTGAAATTTGGCATACGGATAGCTTATAACCTGGATTACCATAAAGGATATTTTGTGAGTGTTAAAATAAATTAATAAATAAGTTAACTAAAATGCTACTACGCTGTATTTGTCAAATTAAAGGGATTCCAAAACGTTTCATTTCGAAAAAATTTCTTAAAACTTTAAAATCGATTAATAAATAACTTAAATTAAATATCATAATAAATATTAAATATAGGTGTCTGACGAAAGCTATTCAATAACTACTTCTTTCGAAAATATTCTTTAAGACGGTTGCCACCTGTTCAAGATGTCGTAACAAGTCTAATTAATAAGTTAAACGAAAAATTTTAATGTGGGTATCAAACGCGAGTAGTTTTAAAAAAGCTATATCTATTTCGAAAATATATTCGATGAGAGTTGCCACTAGCTTGGGAAAATTAATATAATTGACAAGTTAAATGAAATCCGACTAATACTAAGGTACATTCAGTATCAAACAATTGTTGCGAATTGTTACTAGTACTTGCAAGTTTTTACTGGAAATGCATTCAATAACCCAAAATATTTGCGAGAGAGCGAATTCGAGAGCGTAACAACCCGAGAGAGCTGCAAATTCTTGCAAGTAAAAATTTTAAATGTTTCAAATTCAAATATAAACAAACTGTTTAAGAGGATGATTTGATGAAACATGACACCGTGCGACAAAAACCAAAAATTTTCAAAACACGAAAAAAACAATGTATTCACAAAACTAGGAGCCAAATATAGTATAACAGCGTTTTAGTTTTTCTCTCTGGCGTAAGGATTTTTTTTAAAAGGACTTTGAAATTTCCAGGATATGATTGAATAAAAATATTTTTAAAAGATTTGGTGCTTTGTAGAATAACAATATGGGTATCAATTACAAGGAAAAATTCTGTAGAATAGGAAAAAAAATAATTTTTGGGTGCACCAGGAAGAATAAGTATTGAAAATGTTCTTTTAAAACTTTATCCTTGAATATCCTTGGAAATTTCCAATATTTATTTTTGAAAAAATATATGTCAAGGACATATATATGTTAACTACCACATCCTCGAATTTCGTCCTTCTAACTTTATTAGTTTTAGATAAAACACTTTTAAACCTCTCTTAATAAGATATTGATAGTTACAATATACGTAAATGAAGATACTAGAATCTCCGCTGCGTATTGGAACAAACCAATTTTTTTTAAGAGATTGAGTCACAGGTAAAAAAGTAATTTCTCCGTCTTTCGAAGTTAGCCTCCGAAATCGAGTTTTACTATAGTTGGCGCCCAGTTTTGTATATATATTAATATTTTTTTTGTGTGCAAAATTGACTGTCGCACGGTGTTATTAGTGAAATGAAAATATGGATGAAAAATTTAAATCTATAGTATATTTTTAAATTTTTATGACGATGGGAACTATTCTCAATTAAAAAGAAAATTGCGCGCCAAAACTTAACCGTCAGAAAGTGTCAAAATGGCTTAAGTTGCAAGTTTTTACTAGTTCAATAACTTTTTCTGAAAATTTTCTCTTGCTCTCAATTTTACTCTCTATTTTTCTTTTACGCTCTCGCTGCAAGTACTTACTGGAAAAGTTATTGAATGGACCTATTGCAGATGTGAACGTTTGTAAGATAGCTTATGGAGACAGCTTATCACCTTGATTAATGTACAGCATATTTTTTTTTATAGGGTTGCCACCTGCTTGCGAAGTAAAATTCTATTTCCAATTATAATTTTAACGAAATTTCACAATGTGGATTCGAAATGACAAAAATTTAAAAAAGGCTTTATTAGGAAAACTTTCGAAGAGGATTGCTACCTATTTTAAAACTTAAATTAAATTTTATTAATAAATAATACTTCGTTGTTAAACTATGGGTGGCTAATGAATGGGGTTTAAGAAATCTTTATATCCATCATATATACCATCTGTTTAAAAGTAAAATCCTATATTTTCATAAGTTAAATAAAGTATTACATGTCAATCGAAACGTGTATGAGAAAGCTTTGTTTAGAAAATGTATTTAAAAAGGGTTGTCACCTGTTTGAAAGTCAATTTAAATTAAATCAATAAGTTAACTGAAACATTACAAAATGACGTCAAATCAAACAAAAGATGTTGAAGACGGTTTTTTGTCGAAAATATTTTAAAAGAGGTTGCCACCTATTCAAAAGTGTAATTAAGTGTACCTTACTTTAGTGGAATACTGTAAAATGTATGTAAAACGAAACATGTTAAAAAAAATTATATTGAAGAGGGTTGCCACCTGTTTAAACTTAAAATTTAAACATAAACGTAACGATTCCTCTACAAATTAGAGTACTGTATGTATTTCAAATCTGAACCGCGTATGTTTGTATGAGTATTTAATACTTTCTTCTACAATAACATTCAATGTGTCTTTATTACAGCTACTGATAAGTAATTGATCCTGAATATAAAGTTATGAAAACTTCTTTACTAACATTTTCCATTATTGTATCCGTACTATAGTCGATTTCATCGGTCTCTTCATTCTACACATTTCACCATAACCAAAGGGCATTGTCTTCCGTGTGCTAAAATAAAAGACGCCCTTCTTTGGTACAGCTGGATCACCACCCATATAGGCGCTCGCTGTACACTGTGCCGCATCGCAATCGCACTTGTAGCTTTCTATACTCTGATAATTCTTGCATTGGATGGCACCAAAAGCCCGCGGATTCCGCAAAGACTCCACAAAATAATACAAGGCACCAAAATGATCACAGGTAAAGTCCGGCTCCATGGTGGTCACATTCGGACAATGCGGTTGACCTAGCCCCCAGTTGGGATAGAAGGAGGCATGTGCTAGATTGTCGGTGGGGAAACCAAAGAGCGCCACATCACTTTGCACGGACTCGACATAGAGGGCATCCATTGGCGCAAGTCGCCATTTGTCATCCAATCTGCGATGAATGGGCCCGGAAGTGTCCAATGCATAGATGACGCCATACTTATCTGGTTGTAGTAATTTTCCAGCCACACCAGCTATGTGACAACCAGCGCTGTGCGTAATTAAGTACATTTCACTAAACGGGATGGCGGTGTGACTCTGCAGGAAACGTGTAAATTCGTTGAATTTGCGTGCGATTTCGAAAATTTCCGCTACCACACGTATATAATTGATGTCCAGCGAATAATCTGTCCAGTCAACTAGAATTACATTGTAATCACTCTTGGCGAGGTAGGCATCTTTGATGGCAGCATTCGAACATGTAGTCGTTTGACCATTCCAGCCGTGTATGGAGAATCTAGTAGCCGAAAAAGGAATAAAGCAAAAAACATGGTAAGAAAAAAAATCAATTGCATGCATTCTGCTGCTATTGCATTAATCACACGACAAGTTCAAGTTCAGAGTATGAATCATCACTATCCAGTTAAATTTATTGTTTTCCGTATTGACTTAACTTACCTGACTGGCAGCTGGCATTAAAGTTTGAGGCCAACAGCCGATTGCGGTCGCCAGTTAACAGTACTTCCCGTTTGTATGGATTCAACCGCGTAAACAGATCGTATCTTAATTGCTTTTGGCGTGGACGTGATCCTGGATCAAGTATTTGACGTGCCCCCTTCGTAACAAGTCCCGCTATAAATTCCACTGTAAACGGTTCACAATCACCCAACTGGTTTTGAAATTTGGAAGTTTTGTATTCATTGAATGCTGCTCAAGCGATGGTGGAGTGAGTCATTGAGGAGAGAAGCAGTAAATGCAATGACATTAAAATACAAGTATGTGTTTGTGAGGATACATGTAAAGAAAAGTCCAAAAAGAAATATGCCTTTGAATAAAATGTATACATTTACATACATAATTATGATACTTAATGAATTCCTTTCTTAATTGAGTTTAATACATTATTATTTTTAGATCGCTGTGAATATAAAAAAAAAAAAAACTAAATCGAGGTCGTAAATGAATCTGGAAAAACTAGCCTGCCGGGTGATCGCCACTGCAGATAATGTGGCCAGGGAACGATTTTTGAGTTCCCTTTTTGAGCTGACCCAAGGCTTATTTAAGTATTTAGACCTGATCCTGGATAAAAAGCTGGCGTGGAAGCGTAATATTTAGAAAAGAGCAAAAAAGGTGCCGGTTGCATTATACTGCTGCAGGGGAGCTATTGGTAAGAGAAGGGATCTCTCGCACAAAAAAATTATCGGCTCTATGAAACCATAGTTAACATAGCATATCTTGTTCTACGGAGCCTTTGTCTGTTAAAACTCACTAGAGAAGTTCACGCTTCCTAACGGACTAAAGCGCGTAGAGCCCATTACCCATATCGGTATTAGTGGGACACTATGAACCACTCCTACACTGGCGCTTAAAGTTATGCTGAATCTGGTAAATCTGGTGATTAGCTGGCTCGAAGTTGTGTGCTGGAGTTTTGGAGGGCTTTGACTTCGGCCCTGAACAAATAGATTACTGCGCCCCCGAAATGACTCCCAGCAACTCCTTCTCTGCCTAAATTCCCTAAAGAGAGGATTGGGCAAGGCGGAGTTACTGGAAGATTGCAGCGGTAAACTTCTTCACGGACGGATAGCTGCCATTGAGGAAGCGGTAGACTCACTGCTAGAAAGTGTGTCGTCAGTTAGGGAGGTTAGCATTTACTCGGACAGCCAGAGGGCCATAAGGCCCTGCATAGCATTGAGCTATGCAACTGATGCGGGTATGCAGTAAATTCAGAGGCTTTTCGGCCAATGGGCATATGAAATAGTAACATTATTTCTAGAAAAATACCTCCGGTTTTATATGCCGAGCTCCATCTATAAAATGCTTGTACATGGAGCGTACACAGTTTACCTCCCAATTGTCATGATGTCGGAGGCGCTAAAAGCCAGAAACAAAGATTACAGAATTTTTGGTAGAATCTTACTCGCAAGACATCACGAAAATATACGATGGAAGAGGAGAGACCAGAATGTTTGCACGTATTTATATAAAAAAAAAAAAATATTTATTGGTTCAAAAAGTAGTTCGTAGGCACTGTGGCCAATGGTAACCATCTGTCACCCACCACCCATAGTTGTAAGTCATGCAGAGACCGCAAGCATTATCCGAGGGATGTATCCGACTAGGCCAAGCATACTTTGAAGTGCCATCAAAATATAACTAAAGAAAAGGTTAACTAAATGGCAATAGAGAAGTGCGTGTTCAAAAATTTCCTAAATTTCATAAAGGAAATTTCTGCACATGCTGCAGTACATAGCACACATTAGGCGCTTGGTGTTAGTATTGGCGCCTAAACACATGACCTCAAATTTACATACTTCGGATCACATTATATCGGAGTATAGGTGGTGCTTCTATTTACTAAAATAGAAATATTGAATTAGATAAAGAAGTAGTAAGTCTGCACTCAGTGAGTATCAATTTACAGGACGAAATATTAAATCTTGAGAGCAGTTCAGAGTCTGAGTTATTCTTCACATACTAATTTAAGAAATTCTCATTCTTTGCTGCAAATGAAAGTATGTATTAAAAACATTAAAAAAAAACACGGCCATTGTGTTTAGCAGTGCGCGCTACCATTCCGCAGGAGCTGAGTTGGAGCCCAGTTTTCGACCAACATCAAGAAATAAAAAAACAAACAATAATCTCTTAGTCTTATAGTGGTCGCCCCTCTGTAGACAATGGTAAACTTCCGGGTGTATTTCAGCCATGAAAAACCGCTTCTCATAAAAATACAATCTCTGCACAGAGGAGTATTTGCATAGTAAAACCGGTCAAAATTATTTTGTGTTTTTCTACTCAGTAATTAAAGGAGAAAAAAAATATTAGCTTTACTTTCCTTAGGATCATCATATTTGTGACATTTTTATGCCCTAGCTAGCATGGGGTTTATGAGGATTAATTCTTTTTCTCAAAAAGGCACGAACAACATTTATATTTCTAAGATATATTTAGATCGGACGAGTTCAGATATGCTCTTATTATTTTTAGATTGGCTCTTGTTTGCGAATTTTGGATAATGAGGAAGTCAAAATACGACTTTAACCGAAGTTTTGTAGCCAAGGATCCAATGTACATATATCCGTAAACAAAATGAGTATTATTTATTTGAAATTTTTAATAACATCAAAAACAAATATTGAAAACATGACTAAATGTTACACATAGGACATGCTTTCTTCTTTCGTGTCTAATATATTTTTTTAAGATTGGTCCAAAAAACCATAATAACGAAGAAAACAAATGCAGCTATTGAAAGCACAACGACCAAAAAAAAAAAAACCCTTATGAGGGCTATGATCTTTATGACGTATTTCAAATTGACGATTTTTATGACTGCCAGTTGATGATGGGTTATATATTTTATCAAAGTTGATAAATCCGACTTATACCACAAATACTCCTAAGCACGCCGTTCGGAGTCGGCGTAAAACTGTAGGTCCCTCCTTCTTGTGTGACAACATCAATGCGCACGCCGCAAATCGGAGTAGAAGCTCGACCAAACACTAATATATTTTATAAGCGCCATTCAATTAATATTAAAAAAAAAATCCCTTTTACAATTTTTTAATAAAAAACTAATAAATCACAAGTAATTTTTAAGGAAAAAATTAAACCGACTTAAATTCTCATATAAAAACTTAAAGTTATCGTTTTTTTTCTTCATGATCCAATGATCGGATTTAACCCAAATTAGTATGGGACCACCGCTGAGATATCACATTTCCTTTAAAAAAGAATTATAGAAATCGGTTTACGTAGTCCAAACTTATGCGGTAACATACATAAAAAAATATTCCGCCGAATTGGTAACCTCCTCCTTTTTTGAAGTCGGTTTAAAATATTTAAATAAAAAAATGTTATTCCAAATTGTTTCTTTATTAATTATCTTTATAGTGAAAAAACGCGAGACCATTGCTGAAATGGTTTGAATTATCTCCTTCAAAAGTATAACATGGGAAAATTCTATCCTTTTTAAGCAAGCTGGTAAATATGTACTTAGCTGGACTGTAATTTGAAAGTGGCACATTTGGGTATTGGACACTTGGCTGAAGGGGTAATCTCACTAAGTGGGTGATATACTTATACATGTGTACTATTTTAGGGGGTTGATGGAAACCACAGTTACATAGGTAAGTCTTCGTCCAGCGCGTGAGTGCTTTCTGTTTAGCTTAGTTTTTTGTTTCTAAAGCGCTGGTAACATGGTAACACGAGTACTATCATATATCGAATCTGTTTAATGAGTTTTGCATACAATCGATTACCCGACGCAGCACATGGCAGGGTATGATGCGAAGTCTGATGCTTTTGATTTTTCGCTGTGTGACACTTTCGACGAGAGATGCCACTCTCATTGCTTGTGAGCATTTACCCTTAGGGCCGTTTTCACCAACTCTGGTTAACACTAATCCCCAGTTAAACATCGTTGCCGACGTTACCGATAACGTGTTATATGCATGGAGTCAGTAACGTCGGTAACGATGTTTGGCCGGAGGTTAGTGTTAACCAGATATTGAGAAACTGGCCCTTAGTCTGTTCCAGTACCCATCAGATTTACTGAGAGTCATTCGGATACATACATTGGGGCATATTCATAATCGAAATATGCATTGAAAATTATGATAAACAGTAGGAACTAACTTTAATGCCGACTTCGTTTAGGCTATGAATATACATTCTTCGGTTATATCTTCCTAACTAAATCCTGGAGTCCTGGAACCGTCTACCTGCTTACACTGAACAGCTGATTCTTGGAGATTATGCACCCTATGCGAAGTAGAATTACACCCCTGCTTCACTGCAATGTAAGTACAACCAGCGCTTAATGCGCTTTTCAGTCTCGGTTTACTGAATTTGAAGATTGCATTTGTAATATTAAGCGATTAAGAGATTATTGAGTTTAGTCACTATTTTAAGAAATTTGAAAAAAAAAATATTCGAAAATCCCGTTTATCTGCGTTACTAGTGAACTAAACAAAGTGATAACCTTGTAACCGATCGTGTTTGTGTAAATTTGTAACTACATTACTAGAATCACCCAATTCCTGAGAATATAGTTAGAAGCTTACTAATAGCTTACGAAGATTGTTGTAATAACCTATGCAAGGGAATTAGTCAATTTTAATTAAGCATACTTCAGTAATTTCAATTCCTTATCATTTCAAATATAAAAAAAAAATCGCTTTAAGCACTATTTAGTTATTATGATAACGGGTAAGTGAGTTTTGAAATAATAAAAGCTTTAGGCCGAATATCTCTATCTTTCACAAAACTAATTCAATTTCATGGGCATGGTTTTAAAAGCGTTTTGTATTGTTTTTTTTCTTATTAGTTTGGTGTAGGGCTGCCAACATTTTCTAAGAAATTAGTTTCTTTCTTATGCATTTCCTCTATAAAAAAAAATATATTTCTTTGAAAGTACATATCATATGCTTTATCGCTATCAATATTTAAATTAACATAAATCAAAAGTGAATTTTTTATTAGTGAGATATTCACTTTATTTCTCTCATCTCACCATTTCGAAATCTTAATAGGAAAAACTCTTTATGAGAATGCCGAAGTTGCAGGAATAGAGAGAATAAGCGAAATAATTTTAAGTAAATTTGGTAAATCTTTCTATGTATTTTAAGAAATGTTCCCATTTTTGATCTGTGGAGCCTTTGTTTTAAAGTATAAATGTCATCCATTTGAAGACATTTACAAATGACTGAAATATATTTATATTTATAATTGAAGAAATATAGTATTTTTGCATACTATATTTTTTTCCAACAGTATATAGCACGCAGACCCAAAAAATAGTACAATACTATAATTATAGTACGGTACGGTATAGTATAGTGCGGTGTCGCGTAATTAAAGCACCGATTCCATC